TTGGACAACTGCCATTTCTGAAATCACATACTAACAGATCAGCTTTTCCCCTTCAACCAACTAGACAGCTGGCAACTCTAACAGACTACATCAGTACTACTGAGTAACCCGTTAATAAGCAGTTCAGAACTATCAAAATTTCAACAGTGACCGCAAATATAAACCTGTGACCATAAATCCCAAATAGTCATTTTATCCCCAAAGGCTTTCATTTATTCATCTTTTATTTTATTCTCTTTCGGTCAAGTGGGTGGTCACTTTGAAACTGCCACTTCATAGACTTTACTGTTGGTCATAAAAGAAGAAACACTTGAAATATAGTAAATTCACACACTATCCCTTTCTACATGGGTTTCCCCAAGTAATTAAATTCATATAAATTTCTCCTTTCACAATTATGTTGAAGAAAGTCATTTAAAACATGACAAAGTATTCAGAACATAAATCATTTGAATTGCTCCAAGATGAGACATTAGTCATGTTTGCTTGGCTTCATTAAATAGTTTTGTTGTTTCTCAACATCAGACACTTTCTGCCAGATAGCCCTGTCTGTGTTGATGAAGCACAAGCTCTCAAGTTGGTGATCATGTGCTATGAATTGCAACACACAGAAGAAGCAGTCAAAGGTAAAGGTCAAAAAAAAAAAAAAAAAAAAAAAAAAAAGCCACATAGGCCAATAACACCTCACTGTATTTTGGGACTTTAGACATTGACCTCTGCAACCCTTCCACTTTTCAATTGTGAAGAATAACCATCAGTTTCCTCGCTGCATGAAGCATTCATGCATGTGCAGTAAGGTCCCTTATGATTGGGTGCCAAGTTACATCAAGATTGCAGAACCATTTCTCTATATATTCTAAACTGGCTGGATGTTCCAGACAAACCTTATACAATGGCTCCCCAATAAGTTTGCAGTGATTATACAAATTTTGATCTTAAATATTGACTGTATAATGTTTAATCTACATCATTAATATTCACCAGCAAATTAAATGCATTAACAAGGAAGAAGATTATACTGAAAAATAGTTAATGATTATGTCATTGTAGAGGTAAATCAGACACTAATTCTATTTTCTCATTTGTATATATAACAAATTCTATCACTATGAAATTTATCCAGTTTATATATATATTAGTGATACATTTTTTGACAAGGATCAGAATTTTTTTTTTTTTTTTTTTTTAAGTATTTTATGGGCTTCTGGATTTAGTGAAAAACTTTTCAGTACTACAACCATGTACTTCAGAATCATAGTAAGATACATATGTAAATTACTTTGGAGCATCTTTCTTCTGTGACATCCTGTGTAAAGCAAACTGATAAGTGACTTAATTGTTTTCCGTGATTCCCTCTTTCAGACACATATGATTTGGGAATTAAAATCTGTACGTAATATCAAATAAAAATAGTAAGTATAAAAAGGAGTATGGTTAAAAAAATCAGAAACAATATTTCATGGAATATGATTCTTTGTTTTTATTTACTATGTTCATTGAACAGTCCCATTCTAAAACTATAAAATAATGCAGTTTCAAGAGTGGGGGGGGGATTCAAGCAAGTTTTAACACATGTTAACTTCCACATATTGAGAGGGAGAGACAGAGAGAGACGGAGAGACAGACAGAGAGAGACGGAGAGACAGACAGAGAGAGACGGAGAGACAGACAGAGAGAGACGGAGAGACAGACAGAGAGAGACGGAGAGACAGACAGAGAGAGACGGAGAGACAGACAGAGGGACGGAGAGACAGACAGAGGGAAAACGTAAAATGAGGGGGGAAATTCTAACAGGTTCTACCACTTGTCAAACCTTAAAGTAATGCACTCATCTTCAGAATAAACGCAGAGAAAAAAAAATATTTAAAATAAAATTTAAAAAAGTATCTGAAGATGTCAAGTGGTTTCTGCTTATTTTCTTAACTTGACCAAAACATGTTTTTCTTTAAATGCAGATTCTCCAAGACATAGTTAATGAACTAATTCTGGCCCAAGGCCACAAACAGAGGGTCGAAACGTTTGCATTTTCATTCAGTGTCACACATAACAAAATGGCATCGTTTTCTGATCTATCGACATCTATATGGAACACATTGCACAACAATTTTTTTTTCTTTTAGTAGAATTTTATTTTAACCAATAGTTCAAAATTTTAACAACGCAACAGTCCATACAAAAAATGATTCTTCGCTTCACTCCGCACCCCCACCTTAAAAAAAAGGTGATGATCGCGCGGTGGGGCACAATATTTACATGAGAAATATCAACTCATTTTGGATCGAAGTAACAATATCTGTTCTAAAATAAATATTTAATTTACTCTTGCTCTAAGTAATTTTCCTCCATCGTCCTAAAAGTGAACTCTCTTAATTCTGAAAATGACAACCTGTTGCCAATTTAAAAAAAAATAATAAATCAAACAAAAAAGGGCATTTTTATGAGGATTCAAAACTTTTTAAATTGAATTTAATTTAAAGCAGTCAACATCCACTTAGGAGTTGTTTTTTTTTAAATTTAAATAAAAAGTATTGATTTTTTTTTTTTTTTAATTCGAAAACTCTAAATTTTAATTTTTAAATTGATATTCTCGTCAGCTTCTTCCCGCAAAGAACTTCTCCCTGAAAAGCTACCAAAAAATTTGCCATTTACAAGTCACATCTTTTTCATTCAATCACAGTCAGTATGACGATGCCTCGGTCTTTCTTCAACCACTTGCGAGCTTACCATTATTTATCAAAGACACGGGGGGGGCTCATCAATATTGATCACTAATACTAATCAATATCATCATCATACTGAACAAAGAAAAGTGAAGAGGAGGCGACATCGTTGTCATTTAAAAATCCACAGGTGCCTTTTGGAACCAATCTTCATTTAGTTAAGAAGACGGTGTTGTTTTGTTTTTTTTTATTTAAAAAAGAAAAAAAAGGGGGTTCTGTCTCAGAACACCTCATCATAATAATCAAAGAAAATAAGTCATCCTCAAATTAACATGAGGAATTATTAATTAGCAATACCTCGGTTTGTGAGGGAGATTAATAAAATTAAGAAGCTAAACACAAAGAATGATTTTTTTCCCAAAATAAACAAAAAGAAAAAGATTTTTATGAGCCCAATACCAGCAAAAATAAAAAATTTTCTATTCAAAAGTAGAAAAATTGATTCAAGACATTTTATGGTAAATCAAATTTAAAATTAAATGAATTCAAAAAGAAAAAGTTTCGTAACACTTTTGCGACAAAAATGATTTTTCACACAAGAAAAATAATTTGATTTCTTCAAATTAGAAATTTAAAAAAAAGATTAAAAAATAAAAAAAAAATGTTAAAAAAAAAAAAAAGACACGAATATAAACTGGATTGAAGTGGAATATTTTTTAATGATTTTAGTCGCGTAATTAAAATTTTATTGAAACATTAGCGAAAAAACAATCAATCGAATTTTTTTTCGTTCGATTGGCAGCGCCCATCTCCTCCTTTGCTCCAAGAGTGAGAATTTGGAGAAAGAAACCTCAAAATCAAAGAGAATTCGTTGAGGCCATTCTCTTCATCCCAGAAGATGAAAATTAAAGAACTCATTTTCTCCTGGTCTCCTTAAGAATCAAAGATAAAAATGATATCGAATTTCACTCAGTATTGCCATTTTATTTTATTTTTAAACAAACACCTGCCCTCTCTAAAAATCAGATAATCCCGTTGCGACCAAAGGACAATCCAAGTTCGCTATAAATATTCCCTGGGATTTTTTTTCTACTTGTCCCACGATATGCCAGATGAAGAAAAAATTATACAGAATTTTTTGATGATCTGACATGACCTTTTTTTTATTTTTTAATTAAATGACAATTTTAAATTTTTTTAAAAATGAAGATTATGCATCATTATCGCCTGACGTTTAATTTGAAAAATAACTTCTTTTTTTTTTAAAAAAAAAAAAAAAACGAAGTGAGGAGGGGGGATTAATTTAATTGTCTCATGTACATTTATTTTTAAACATTAAATTTTTCTTTTTTTTTTTGGTGATCAAGCACTGAAGAAAAACCAAGTTAACAAAAAAGTAAAACACTTGCATTTATTTTTATTTTATGAATTATTCCAAGAAATCTTTACTTATAATGCAGTGTGTACATTTTTAATAGACAAGATCAATTTTTTTTTAAATGTCACTGAACTTTTATTAAGTATTTTTATTACTGATCCTCTTCAAGAACCCAAGTTTTTGGCTGTCGCAATAAACACCAAAATTCCAAGAAAAAAAAAGCACTAAAAAAAAAAAATAACACAGTAGGAAACAGCAGCAGTTGTAAATTTACTTAAAGTGTTCTACAGGGGAAAATATGAAATCAAGTATTAGATTTGCTTACAAAATTCTTGCTCTTGAAGTAAGATACGCATGTAGATCCAAGAGCGCCTTTACCTCCATAGACCAAAACCCGTCCTTGTGTAGCCATGTTGCTGGAATTCGCTGTTCTGGACAGAAATGTTTTATGTTGCTACTGTATATGCGGACACCGGAAGTGACGTTATTGTTTGCAGCAAAGTAGCAGCAGCAGCACCAGCAATCGTCCTTGTCCGTAGCTGTTCGAACAGAGAGAAAAAAAAAATCCGTATAGAAATTTTAGCATTTTTTTTTTTTGAAAAACTGCATTAATTTCGAAGATAAATAATTAATATCTAATCAAACCAAATTAAAATTGAGAAGAAATACTTTGTAAGTAAAAAAAACCAAAAAAAAAAACCAACCCACCCAAAAATACGTCCCTGAGAGATCCTGAGGACCTCAAGTCACACTGTTACCAAACAAGACGAGATATTCCTGTGACGTCACCATGGCCTCGACTTTTCCAAAATTCCTTCTAGGAATTTTGAAGCAGACGTACCTGTAAAAAGAAGTCATAATTACAGCAGAAGACAGAATTTGCTATACATGAGTATAATCTTCCATATCAGTTCATATTTTCGGAATATTTACTCGCCACTCTCGCGGTCCGTTCAGCTATAATGTCTCGCCATGAGGGTGAGTTCATATCGTAAAATTTTCAAGATGGCTTCGTTCTGCTTTTAAAAAGATGTTGTTAAATAATACAATGTGCGCAGCGTTTTTTTCGTCTCTTCAAGGCGACTTTGCCGACCAAAAACCCTTTCAAAATGAATAATAATAATTTTTCTTTCAATCTTTGCTATTTTTGACACCCTATTCTTCTTAAATACTCATACATCCCGGAAGTATTTTAAAAAAAAAAAAAGCAAGGAAAAAAAAAAAAAAAAGTAGTCGTTCACTACAAATTTTACCAACCGACCAACTCGCTTTAGTGAAATTAAATATCTTGTCTTATATAAATATTATAGTCACCCATATTTTATCAACCCTTTGTGTATTTTTAAGTGTTTTTTAGAGTCTATTTTGTTCATTATTAGTAAATATTGATACCATTTTGATATCTTAAAAAAAAAAAAGGGAATTTGTTTTCTGAGGTAGGATTGGCCGGACAGTAATAATTTTTACTATTTTATTTTGAAGGCCAATTGGCAAAAAGAATAGACTTGTTCACCTCATTTTTATTTTAGTTTTAAATTGTGTACTAATCTACTTTTCTTTTTTTTTTTTTCCATCTTGTTTGGATAATTTTTAATAACCTGATTTCTCTCCCATATTAAAATGAGAAATATTCGTTTATCCATATATATATTTTTAAGCCCCTAACTTGAATGTAAGGATAGATTTCAAGCAGAAATATGCTATTTAGTTTCTAAGATAAGATATATAATCCATTATCGTTTCCCTTTTAGATATTTCTAAGCAAATATTGTTTTTAAAAAAAATTATATTTTAAGTATATTTTGCCTTTTATAAAGATCGGTAAACGCCCCAGTTTGATTTTTTTTTTTCTTTTCTAAAATGTGTGACTAACAAAACAAATGACAAATGAAATACTAATAATGACTTTTTTTTATCCTTCCAATCTGTGTTAGTTTAAATCTTATATAGGTAATTAATTCCTTGTGTATAGATAAAATATATTATCCACATTTCAAATTAGAGTGCAATTAATTTATTAATAAAATTGCAACTCATGCCTTATTAAAGGAAGACTATTTTTCAAGATGTCTCAATTATATTATTTCTTTTTATTATTCTAAAGTTACTAAAATATCCTGAATCATTTTGAGTGGGTGTCTATATACATATCTATTTATTGACATGTTTTATCTATAATACTGCACAATATGTATAATAAAACAGACTATAAATAACATTTTTCTATACACCCAATTGTTGTTTTTTATATAGTGATTATTTTAAAAATATTGTTCTCTATACAATTAAGTATTTATATTCTATATTTGTAATTTATATTGTATGTAATTAATTAAATAAGCACTTTTTGAAAATGCCTGAGAGAAAACTACTTTTTTATGGAAAGTACGGTGTTCATTAGTAAAAGAAAATACTAGAATATTATAACATTTTTTTATTTTATTTTTTAAACTTGTTTAATTCTGGCATATGTTTTTGACATATTTGAATATAAAATATAATAACAGGTTTGTTTTCCTGTGTTTCACATGGTTTTAACTTTTAATAGTATTTTTTATAACCATTTTAAAAAGTAGACTGACTAATAATAATAATTAGTATTTTATTTTTTTCAGTATTTGTCCTCGATCAACATACTTCCTTCTCGAAATTTTTTCGTATAGTTTTGTTTGACTTTTTTGTTATCCCCATTTATGCAACTTTAAGTTTAAAAAGTAAAATTAAAAAATAAATCTTACGATGGTTGATGATCGTTATTTTTAAAATTTAAATTTATTTAAAACAGAATTTAATGATATTACGTAAATTAAATAGAAATTAAAAAAAGTCTTAGATTATTCCAGATTATTTTTTCTTTTTAAATTTTTTTTTAACCCTTCGTAAATTATTGTAAATTGAAAAATTAGAATTTAGCTGTTTCTAATTGTGTACATTTTCCTGGCGAATTGAACAATCTTGTTTTAGGTTTGTTTTATTATTATTAGTTATTTTAACTTCATAAAATCATTTGATTCCCATTTCAAATCTTTTTCTTTTCTTTTTTTTCTCCCCCCCCCCCTTTCCGCCTTCAACTTGAGCTTTTTAACATTTCCCCCTGCAGGTAAGTAAATAAATGATCAAATTACATATTTAGATATGTATGATGATTATTGGGCTAAAACAAAAATAAGCAAATTTATTCAGTCTTTGATTTTTCAGTTGTATCTTTCATAAAACGTTTTCTTTCTCAGAGCGTTAATGATGACTTGCCTTTAAGTGTGAACAAGCTTGTTCTTCGAAATAAACATTTTGACGAAATGACATAATATAATTTTAAAATATTTTCCATATCAACATGGAGAATCAAGAAGTACCCCCCCCCAATAAAGAATACAATTATTAATTTAGTACATTGCATCAAGTTTTCAAACTCTATCAGCATTAAAGACCAACTTTAATCAGATGAGATACTTTCTTTCAAATTTCCTGTGAGTTTTACTTATCAACTCTATATGCTTAAATGCATGAAAGACAAATACATAAAAATAACATTGAGATTTTAAAAATGCTGTCTAAAGAAGTCTTTTTCAAATATTAACCTTTTTCATTTAAAAAAAAATACAACTCTACAAATAATAAACATTACTTGATTACAGTTCAAAATAGATTATTTTTAGTTAGTTTCATTCTAATTTGTACATGTTTTGATTTTTTTTTTTTTTTTTTTTTTTTATTTTAGACCGTCAAATTCAAATTTCTTTTTTTCTTTTTTTTTCTTTTTTTTTTTTATCATCCTGTAAGTGTTTCTCTGAGAATTGTACTTTACTCTATTTGATGAATGAATGTTTTGATTTTTTTCATTTGTTAGCTATTAAATATTTAGTCATTAATCTGCAGTAACCCAATTTATTGATTTTACTTTTCTTGGATCAGTTTTTTTAAAATTAAATACCTATACTAGTTTTCGTTTTGAATGTTTACTATTTTGTGCCCCTCCTCCTTTTTATGAATCAGAAAGTAAACCTTGAGCATTTCAAAAACTTAACTGTTTAATGATTGTGCATTTAGGCTTCAAGCAACATCATCTTGCTCTGTCCTAAAGCTCCACATGTAATTTTTATGGTTCAAATTATACTGCCTGTTAGATTTCTGCACCTCATTTATCCCTAAAAAGTCTTTCATGAACTTTATGTAAAGGTTAATTTCCCTATGAGAAGGGCTCTGTATGCCTAACTTATGCATTGGGATGGGATTGATAAAAAAACATTTTGTTGTTTTTTTTTGTTTGTTTTTTTTTAAGTCCAACTGTACTTTTTATGAACTTCAGATTTCTAATAAGACATATTAAAAATTAACCACTTAAATACCTTAAGATCTTGGCTATTGACAAAATTCTCTGAGTGGATGGGAGGTAGTCCTATTTTAATATTTCATATTGATGATCACATGTTAATTTCTGGATATTAAAAAATAATTGTAGGTATAAGATATTATGACAGGAGACCCTTAAACTTTGAAAGAGGAAAAGTTTTTATTTGAATTCTGAGGAATATTAAAGTACACCAGAAAGTGAATGTAATCACTGCACAATCTGGTAAATCAAGATACTGTTATTTATTTTTTTTCTACTTAACATTATATTGAAAGCCACAATATTTCTAGTTTAGTACTTACTCGTAGAATATCTTTACAACCATAATAGAATATATAACTTCCAGAATCAAAGATCAAATGATGGCAATTCCCAGCTTGATATAACATTGGCTTACATTCATTTTTTCTTAAATATATTCAGGGCGGTGATGGCACACTATTGCTGGACATAAGGCTTTCTAGACTGAAGTCATTATCCAGAGGAAAGAGTTCCTCTGATGGAATCAACAGTCACATATCTATGACCAAGACAATCCTTCAAGTTAAAGGCTGTGAAATGACAGGGATGGGATCCGTCAGGTCTACTTTGCCCAATACATAAATGCAGACCTACTGAGACATATGGAGAGAACTAGTCTGGTTTTCAGCTGTGCAGTGACTCTATGGCCACATCCAGTTATGGGACAAATGATGAAATATATCCTAAGCTTTATAACTTAATTCCAGAATGATTCAGATTTTCCCGTCATAAGAGGCAATAAAAGAACTGTTCTCTTTCTAACATGGTCCTGATAGTTGATGTGCCTCTTCTCCACACAACGGATGTTAAATTGACTGATCTTGGAAAAATCATAAAAGCTGAATTTTCTTTAAAAATTCAAATGGTCAATTTTCTTTTCAGTTTCAAATTTCAATTGAAATATAATTTTTTCTGTTATAAAACATTATTTTTCATAGAATTTTCAAGAAATAATGTATTTAGCTAATTCATCTGCTGGGATATCTTGATATTCAGGCAGTTTTAATTTCAATAAAAACAATCATTTGTTTACTAACTCAACTATTTCTGTTTTTCATTAGGAGAGAGATCATTAGATGGATGATCTTTTAGAGGTTTTCATTAGCAATTTCTTCTTTCCTTTCTCTGTCACAACTGTTTTTTAAATCTTCTCTAGGTTTTCCTTGATTTTTTTTTTTTTTTCCAAATTGTGGGTGATCATAGCTCTCCACAACTACCCATCTTGTGTTAAAAGTAATTTTTAACCTGTCAGCATCTCTTTGTTCTATCCATTCATGCAAGCTTGTTACACATTGTTTCCCTTTTCCTGTAAGTTAAATTTTCTAGGCCTTTTTTTTTTTTTTTTTTTTTTTTTATACATCTCAGAACTTTCAGTATTCAATTAGATATTATGTAGCAGTTCAGCACTTTTTCTTAATAACTTCCTGTCTTAATACTTTGCTTAGTTTCTAGAAGGCATTTTTCACTATACTTATGCATCTTCAGATTTGTTAAATTTTCTATTGTTTGTTACTATATAGTTGAATTTCTGTATCTTTTTGATTTTGACATCCCTGCTACACAGCTTATACTTTGGGTTGTCTCTTTCTGCTGACAACTATAAATT